CCCCAAAACCCCAAAACCCCAAAACCCCGATCTATAAATATCTATGACAAAAATGTGGTTATAGAATTTATTTATCCTGATTATTTAGAAATATCACTGATTGACTTTGCAATCTATATTAAGACGCTTTATTAGTTTTTCAAGTCTTTTTGCTTGAGTTGGCTTACTCATATACATATTGAATCCAAATGTATTGATATCTCCTAAAAAGGATTCAGGCAAAGCTGTGTGGGCTATGTAAAAGCTGAGATGCATCTGAATTAAGTTTTGGTTATTAGCTACCTGTAATTTTTTCATGAGTTCTATTCCATTAAGAACAGGCATATTAATGTCAACTAGAATAATTTTATAGGCTTAGCACTTTCTACAATTAGATTTACTTATAATTCTATTAAAGCCTTCCTGCCCATCTGTAGCTAAGTCACAATTTATACCAAAATTCTACTCAAAAACTAATTTTCCAATTTCTAGATTAAACTAATTGTCATCAATAATCAATATTTATCCTGTGCATTTCTGACATTTTATCTTGGGCGGATTTAATTTCACAGGACTTTCAATATACTATATCAAATCTGTTTTAGGATTATGTAAGTTTTGATAATTAACAATCTTGCTTTAACCAATCAGTATAGATTTGTGATGCTATCGTTAATTCCTTTCTAGTTCTATGTTTACATCCTCTTCAGGTATTGGGTCCTCATCTTGAGAATCAAGTCTAGTATTATTAAGGTTCTAGGATACTTGGATGTTTCCACCATGTTAACTCTTGTTAAATATACTATTATTGATACTCTTATTTGCGAGACTATTATCAAGGTGGAAATTTAGCTATTAGTAGGCATTTTTGTCGTTCATAATTATGTTACTACTACTCTCTCGAAGGGACAATTCAATTTTACTTTGTACTTTGATCATCCCACCTCGGCTACTTCTACTTTTACTTCTACTTCCACTTTTACTCTTGCTTTCACTTTCACTGCTACTGCTGCTTTTCTCAGGACTTAAAAGATTAGGGTTTTTAACCTGTTTTTTACTCTTTCTTTATTTATTTGATTTAGGTATCTCTGAATTCATATTTCGACTCGATCTAGATTTAGAATTCGATCTTTTGCTACTTTAACTTCTATTATCACTACTAGGGCTTGTTTACTCATAATTATCATTTGAGTCAGCAGGTTTACTTATGTTAAAGAAGCAAGAAAACTTCGAACCCTTATTCACCTTAGATTTTAAGTAAATCATCCCCCCTAGTTACTCACATAGTTTTTTGCAAAGTGTAAGCCCGATGCCTACTCCTGTGTGATCACTGAGATGAATATTTTCTCCAGTTTTTTGAAACATTTCAAAGAGCTTTTTTAAATCTTTTCTTTTAATCCCAATACCGGAATCTTTAACATCAAATCTAAGAAATCTGCAATGATTATTGTTAATCGATCCTTGATTTGCCAATCTAGTCTTCATTTCAACACCTTCATTTTCGCTTGAGTCCTCATTAAATGTGCCATCACTCTACTCCGTTCTCTCTGGAGAATTATTTGTTTACTCTAATTTTAATTTGATAGGGACATCTATTCCCCCAGTTCCCCCATCTCCATGATCGCTAGGTCGAGAATTAATATTATTTCTCTAAATATTATTGGCTTTATGAGCTGCACTTAATCTTTTAGATTTATTAATAGCTTTCTACTTGTTCATTGGGTCTTATTTAATTTGCGTTAAACTTAGAGATCTTCTTTTTTTATTATCTTTGCCTTATGCTCTTCTTGAATTAGGAGAAAAATCATCTTTTTCTTCTTCGTCTACCTCATGAATTACTGACTATTACCTTATTAATGATGGCCTTTACAGACCTTCGATAGGAAGATTTTCAGTAACTTTAACTTTAACTTTTATTGTACCTTTTTAAGTATACTTAATAGCATTTTGAACTAATTGATAAAGAACTTATTTGATTCTTCTAACATCAGAATATATAAGATCTGGGACGTTGTTATGACAAGAAAACTTTATTTTAATATTTCTATTACCAAGCTATTCTTGAAGCATAAAAAGAACATCATTTAGACTTCTACGCATTTAGAAGAAATCCTTTTCTAGCTAAAAAGTTCCATTTTCAAGGCTTGCAAGATCCTGAATAGAATTGCTATAGTACATTAAGGATTTGCAACAATGACTCTAAGTAGTCAATAGTTTTTTCATGTTATGATCCAAAGAAAACGATTTTATAAGCATTTGATTTGTCCCCATTATTCCATTAACTGGTGTTTTTATGTCATGAGCTACAGATGTATAATATAGATTTCGGAAATCTCTGGCAATATTCTATTTAAGTTGGGTTTTAATATCAGTGAAGTCAATGAACAAGAATATTGTTATTAAATCACCTTGCTTCAAATCCTTGATAGTCTCTTACTTGATAATAAAACATTGATCTTTCAAATGGGGTAGATCAAGCTTGAAAAGAAATTATGAATCCTCTAGGAAAAATGATTTGATATTCGAGCAGGAATTTTGTATTAGAGATTTTATAGATATTTTTTCTTTTGATTGTAGATTTTTTAGTATTTTTTGACCTAATAATTCTTGTAGTATAATTGGATTATCCCTAGTAGATCCTGTAAGTAACTTTAATAACTTTGTATTCGCGAGATGCTGATTGATAGTGGACTATTACTTTGAATCTTAAATTAGTAAAATAGGGCAAGGGAGAATATTGACGCATTCTTTAAGTTATTTCAGATTCTCAATAGCTTAATCACGCACTTGTATAGTCATTCTTCTTTAAAACTTTTCGGTATCGACTGAAGGTAACTGCTTCATTTCTATTGTTCTCCTTCTATTGAGCTTTTTTGAGTAATCCATTAATAGAGTTGTTGAATTTTGGTTCAAAAATTTGAAGATTGTTGTTATTGAAAAGTATTGAATACATATTTTAAGCATTGACTTTAAACCATAAAAGTACGTGTATAGACATAAGAATGGTAAATGTGCAATGTTGTAATTCATTTATTTGATCGGCTTATTATCTTAGTCTACAATAAGTTCAAATACCTTTATTCCAAATTCTTTATATAAAACAGATCTAAATGAGTTTAATAAAAGAGTAGAATTTAAATTACAAAGTAACAATATGAATGCTTTCAGGTGGACAAATATTACAATCCAGAAAATAGAATATCCAGCAGGTTATAAAGGGTATATATTTATTTATTCTCAATCTAGAATGTTATTTCAAATATTCCTCAGTGACCATTACTCCTAGGAGTATGAAAACAATGCAAAAAAAGCATGCGGTCATCGTGTAGAAAGTCTGCTTCCTTTGATCTATTTTATTTGTGAGACTTAAAGTTTTTTTATATTTACCGATAAATGCTTCAATAAGGGTAATAAGTTTGACGAAGGCTATTAGAAGGAGTATATTATGTAGTTTATGTAGTTTTTCCTTGCAAAAGCGAATAATCTCCTCCTAGTCAAACTTTAAATAACGAGCTAAAAACTAATGCTGTGCTTGGAGGTATTGAAGCAAGTCTTAGTAAGTTATTTTGAGCTAATCGATCAAAGGATTCATCTCTCTAACGCAAAATTAAATAATATATAACTTCGATAATAAAATACTTTAATTTGGATTTATGCACAGCCTGCTTATTCATTACTTTAAATTCTTCTCGGGGTTTTGGGGTTTTGGGGTTTTGGGG